AAACAGAAAGTAGACAAAACCCACCCCTTTTTACTTTTGGGATTTTCCCAAAGTAAAAAGGAGTGGGGTTTGTCTAGTTTCCGTTCGGGTTAATGGCACATTAATTCTCATTAATGCTAACAGTTGTCTGAAAAACAACCGGCTTTTGCGGGTTTTTTCTACTTTCTGTTCAGGTTAACCCCAAACATCATGTGTGAAAAACTACCCGCTTTTGAGGGGTTTTCCCACTGGGTTTTTAAATCCCGTTTCTGTATGGGATTTTTCTAGGTTGTCCCCCTGTGATAAACTCCACAGTTGTTTCTTGCCCGGTTCTTCACAGGACAGTGGCACTTTAATCATGTTTCGTCTCAACGCCGTGTGAAAACCACTGGCGCAATTGTGGGTTAATCACAGATTCTGCACGGGGATAACAGCACTTTGTGTGCTGACGTCGTGTGAAAACCATTGGCACAATTGCGGGTTCATTACGGGTTAATCACCAGTTTATACTTCCAATTCCATTCCCTCCCGTTGTGTGATAAACTCCGTCTTAGTATTAACATATTAACCAAATCCGTGAATAACCCTTCATAAAGCATTATTGTTGAGATCCAGTTATGTGGGGTTGATTGGTGTCAATTGCAAGGGCGATGAACTGATATGAAATTTGTTGATGGATGTATCTTGTTATTTCTATCTCCCATTTTAATTTTAACTCCAATTATAATCGTAATTTTAACTTTAATCTTTAATCTTAAATTGAATTGAATTTAAATTTTAATCTGAATTCTAATTTTAACTTTAATTTTAACATTAATTTTATTCCCAATTTATAATTTTAATTTTAATTCTAATTTTTATTATTTTATTATATGTTCATCCAATTGCGTATCCATCTTATTTCTTCATTGTCTATTAGCATATTTTTTTTTAGTATATTCTGTATTCTTCTTAGATACGTATAAGTTGTGCATAAATGGTACATGTTTTGGTGCACGCTTAGCTTACTCATATGTACCTATATTGTACAGGGGTTGATTACAGCTATTGTGGTATATTCATATTTTATACACTGTTGTGATATTGCTTTTATTTTTATGTACTTAGTACTTTGAAACGGCTTTTGGGCTATTCAATAAACTCTTGTTGTTGTGAATAATCAAATCCGCAAAAGGCCAAACTGCCAATGTGGAGGCCTGACTTTATTATTATTATTATTGTTATTATTGTTATTATTGTTATTATTATTACTATAAAAACACACACACACTATTCTGGCTTTTTGAGTGACTTTCTAGGAGCCGCCTTGAGCTTTGAGAGAAAGGCGGCACACAAACGAAATAACAAACAAATAGATAGATAAATAAATAAATAAAAACAATGCTGAGGATGCATCCCTTCTGCCCTTCAGGGTTTTTTGGGGGGGGGCCCTCTTGAGTCTTGAGGAGGCCTCCCCCAAACCCCCTCAGCCTCCTCCTGGCGCTGGAGAAGGGGAGGGCGGCAGAGAAGGCGCAGGCGTCGCTGTCCTTGGTCTGACTGCCAGCCTCGCTCCCTCCCCTTCTTCTCCTTCTCCTTCCTCCTCCTCCTCTTCCTCCTCTTCCTCGCCAGAAGCCGCCAGTCTTCCTGCCTGCCGCAAACGGCTGTGGGAGGGCCGAGGAAGAGGAGGAGGAGGAGGAGGCGGCAGGTAAAGTAAAGCCGCGCGGGGAGTTTGCCGGCTGGCGGAGAACCGCTTGGCCGCGGCGAGAGAGTCGCAAAGGCGCACAAGGAGCGGAGCTGGAGCGCCGAGCCGAGCCGAGCCAGCCTCGCCGCCACTGCTCCCGACGGCTCTGGGCCGAAGCCGCCCTCGCAGAGTCCGGCGCCGGTGAGCCCTTCTCCTCCTTCTCCTTCTCTTTCTCCTCCTTCTCTTTCTCCTTCCCGGCGCGCGCGGTGGGTGTGGCCGGTGGGGCCATTGGATGGAGAAGGCCGGGGCCAGGAGTGTGTGTGTGCTTGTGTGTGTGTGTGTGTTTGGAGGGGGGGAAACAGCAACAACCAGCCTCTCTCGTAACGTGTGAACGCTTCTGCGGGGAGTCCTGAGTTTAGTTTGGAGGGAGGAGGAAGAAGAGGAGGAGGAGGAGGAGGAGGAGGGCGCCTCTATATCGGACCGGGCTTTGGGTTCCTCCTGGGAGAAAGGCGGCATACAAATGGAAATGGAATGAAATTCAGGCTCTCCTCTTCCTCCTCCTCCTCCGCAGGCGTCCTCCTTTTCCAGGACATTGGGGGAATTCCGAAACGCTCCCCCCCCCCATTTTTGAGCCTCACTCCGAAGGATGGCTCTCTGTTTCGAGGAGTGTTTGGGGCTTCCTTTTGGGAACGTCCTCCTCTGCCTCAGGGTCCGTGGAAACCTCTCCCCCAAAGCTCCCCCCTCGGCTGAGGCGGCCTGCGAGGAAGTCCCGCTCGGAAAGTGGAGCCGAGGGGGAGCCTGGGGGCTCAGGTTTCCCCCCCCCCAAAAAAAGGCCCCATTTTCAAACCGAACCCTTTTCTATCCTGAGGGGATTTTTTCCCCCCTCTCGGGGTCTCGGTCCTTAAGGTTTTTATTCGCCCTCCTTCTCCTTTGTGCCTCCGTTTCTGGGCTCCTTCTTCCCCTCACGTCGCCTCTTCCTTCCCATAAAGTGTTTCTCTCCCGAATAAAAGCGGTTCCCAAAGGTGTGGGAATATATTTGGGTTTTTCCGCCTCACCCTTCGCAGGGCCAGCCATGATTTCTGTCATTCGAGTGGGAAAATGGGTGGGTGTGGATCTTACTATGCCGCCTTCCATCAATAGGAACGGGAAAAGAAAGAAATATAAAAGGAAGAAATAAATAGAGTCCTGGACAGCGGCTAGGAAACTTCTACTTTATATTATGCGGAAAGAAAAGGGGGAGAGGACCCACAAATGTCTCCACTTGTGGGATTTTATTTGTATTTATTTGTATTTTATTTTTAAATATTTTATGTTGTTTTATCTCCTCAGGCAAAACCCTTGCAGCCTCTCCAACTGCAAGCCAACCCGTTACTGCCAATAGTATGGTGAGGCTACTCTTTCCTGTTACACTTGTTCCTCCTCATAAATCTTCTGTGCTTTTTGCTCCTTTTCTAGCCGTTCTGTAAGGATGTTTTCACTTTCCAATTATCTTCCCAGCTGGGTGCTTGCAGTTCTTGCTTGCTAGGCTGAAGAAGCCTCTCTCTCCCTCTCTCTTTTCTCCCTCTTCCCCATTACCTTGGGTGATTTTCACTTCTCACATTTGCACACCCAACAAAGACCCCATGGCGATATGCTGTGAAAGGTCTCTTGTTTCTCCTTTGCAACCCCCAGAAGCTAAGATGAGAGAGGCCTTGTGTTCATACATGATCAATATAGTGGGGGACCCCGGTCCCTTTTTCATCACATGTTCAATCAGTCCAAATAGGGTGTGACTAATGGAGAACACCCATGCGCTCTGTTCCCTTTGCTCTTAGCTAGTCAATCGTCCTTTCTTTCTTTCACACACACTTTTGTCTGCTGCTAGCTTGTTGTTGTCTGCCTTCAAGTCATTTCCGACTTAATGGCAACCCTAAGGCAAACCTATTGGGTTTTCTCGGCAAGATTTGTTCAGAGGAGTTTGTCATTGCCTTCCCCAAAGGCTGAGAGCATGTGACTTGCCCAAAATGACCCAGTGGGTTTCATGGCCGAGCCAGGAATTGAACTCTGGTCTCTAGAGTTGTAGTCAGTAGCTCAAACCACTAGGCCACACTGGCTCTTCCTGCTGCTAGTTACAAATGCATATAGTTGCATTCACGCAAGATCAAGAAATTAGACTGGGAGAGAAATCGAAATGGTGTAGCTTGGTAATGTTGACCATCCTCAGTGCATCAAGTGATCCTGGCTGTGAATACTATAGGACTTTTTCCCTACCAAAACGGTAGTACTAGAATAGATAAATATTGAGATTTTAAATGGAGTTGCTAAGTGATCTGGATTCTATTGAGCCATGGAGTCCCTGAGTCTCCCTCCAGCCTGCCTGAGACACATTTTATGAACATCTCTATCTAACTTCATCAGTACAGCCCATGAGGTCTGGGAATGAAGGGAGCTGAGCTCTAATATATCTTTGTGTGTATGTGCCTTCAAGTCTCATGAATTTCATTGGGTTTTCTTAGGGTTTGTCTTCACAGTTTTATTACTTGTCATTCCAGTTAAATAGAATGTGATCTGGTCACAATTCATGGGAGTTTGGGCTTTTTATGCCCCCACCCCAAAAACCTCCTTAAATTGTGTGGAAAAAGGTTTTGCGGTTTTTACCTGAGTATCTGTTGAAATGTGCAGAAATCTTCATTATTGCATGTGTTATTGCATATATTGTCTTTGCATGCATTCAGATGGCTGCACATTTTTGGCAGAGGGAGGATTTTGTAAGCCGCCCCGATTGCTCTGCAGAGGGGTGGGATATAAATTATTATTATTATTATTATTATTATTATTATTATTATTATTATTATGAATAGAAGCAAATAAATATGAATTTGCAAGCAAATGTGCAAAAATGCTTACCAGTCCACACATGTTCACCAACTCACACAATACACTTATTGTGTGTAAACTACCCCTTAGGCAAGGAATACTTAGAGGTGGTTTAACCTTTTCCTTCCTTTGAAATATAGCCTACAGCACCTGGTATTTGTTGGTGGTCTCCCATCCAAATACTAACCAGTACTGACTCTGCTTAACTTCCAAGACCAAATGGGATCTGGTGCCTTTATCTGTAGGATGCCAAATTGGTACCCAACCCCAACTTGATTTCAAGGGGATGAGGATCCATCCTATGAGAATGTCATGCAAGTTAGCTGTTAATAAGTTAGACGTGGTGGTGGTGGGGGTTCCCCTTGAGGGGGTGGAAAGATGGAGCCTGTTCTTGACCTGAAAAATAAATATTTTACAGAGGGTTAGGGATCTGATTAAAACAAATCATTTCATATATGCTCTTATTCTCTTTTGTAGCAGCTGTTTTCTGCCCCATCCTCTATACACATTTTGTTGCTCTTTGCTCGTGTCTTACAGTTCTCTGCTTTCTTAATGCACCTGCTGACTATCTCTTAAAACTGGACACTAGTTAGAAATTCTGTATATTTTTGGCAGCTTTAAACAGATCTCTCTTCCAGCAATGTCCTTATTAAAAGACATAGGCTTTGTGTGACTTGCTATTGATCTTGTGTGTACCTGGGCTCTGCATTGGTCCTGTTTAAATGTTACAATAACAGATTTTTCAGGTGAGTTATGTATAGGAGAAAAAGTGGAACATAAATATGTTTGACTATCCACCCTGACTGGCCTTTTGGCTCTCTCTATGTGTCTTGTATTCTGAAATTCTAGCTGTAAATGCAAAATGCAAAATGGATTGTGTCAGATTTGAAACCCTAACCCTATATATTAGCGGGTGCAAATGTGAACATTATATACTGTATATATAAATGTTCAGTTATTCTGTGTCCTGCACATTTTTTCTGTTATGGATGTGGTTTAGCAGCACATAATCAAAACATTCAAGAGGAAGAATAATGATTCTTAACATGTGTCATTAGTATTTGTATGTACTGTATTCCTTAGAGCTAGATATTATAGTGATCTTCCTAGTCATGAATATTTTAGTTTAGTGCCAAAAAAAAAAAAAAAAAGAAACAAAGAAACAAAGAAAAAGAAAGGGCAGATAACACTGTGATTGTATACCATGAAAGTCCAGCTGAACTTTATGGTGTTTACTTCTGAGGAGACATGTATAGGTTGGGTTAGAAAGCTGAAATCCTATAGGAAGGTATAATCTATTTAGTAGATTAAGAGGGAGATATGTAGAGATTTATAAAATTCTGTATACTGTGAAGAAAATGGCTACAATTTTTTTTTTTATTTCCTTCCTCATAATGCTATAAAACGGGTTTCTAGTGAAATAGATTGAAAGTAGACTTGGACAAGCAAAAGTCCCTTGCAATTAATTAAAGATGACAAAAAAAAGGTGGTAATGGCAGCTGGCTCAGGCTTCAGTCTTGTACCCAGCGTCCCTACAACTGAACCCAAGGAAATTTAGATATATATATATATATATATATATATATATATATATATATATATATATATATATATATATATATATATATATATATATATATAAATAAGACTGTGCAGTTAGCTTTCAAAATTGGTATGAGTACACTCACCTGCTTGTTTATCTTTGGAAGGAAAGGAGGATTGGGATGTTGTCTTCAAGCTCTGTTGTAAACTTCCCAGAAGTGTCAAATGAGGAAACATAATTTTGGATTAGTATATGTAGAGAGACCTTGAAGCACCAACTGAAAGAATCCCACTGTGGGAGAAAGGTGGGATATAAATCCTGGAAGTAAAATAATAAATAAATAAATTGGCAGCATGAGCTTTCATAGATTTGTCTATTTCCTCAGATGCATTTGGTGACTAGTACTAGGTAGACTTTTATGATCTGATCAGGCAGGTTCTTTCAGTTTTCTGCCATGCAACAAGGGGGGGTTGCAGACCGCCAGAAATAGTGCAAATTGAGTCTACTTTTAGGGTTAGGGTTAGTGCTAGGGAACCATGGGAATTATTTTTTTCCTGAGACATTAAGCCTTCTCTGTCAGAGAGCTCTGGTGCTACAATAAAATACAGTCCCCATGATTCCCTAACCCTAACCCTAACCCTAAAAGTGGACTCAATTTGCACTATTTCTAGCAGTTTGCAACCCCCGAAGGAATGGTCTGCTTTACTTTAGAAACCGATTGAGTGCTCTCATACCATTCAGTGGTATGCATATTAGGTGATTGACACACTCTGCCTATATTTACTTTAATTATTATTGCAAAAAAAAAAAAAAAATTGCAGTGTTGGCCAGTGTTGTTATCTTCCAATTGCAGACAAGCTTGTGTCCAAGCCTGAGACAAGGATGAGAAACATTCTGTCTCCCTACACATAGGTTTTGCAGTCCAAAAACACTGGTGTAAGAGAAAAATAGTTTCCATGAGGCTGCCTAGGAAGTTCAAAGAGGACATGAGATTTTTGCATGTGTCCTGCCTTCTGGCATGTCAAACTTTTGTATGTCAGCTCAAAATTAAGTTCTAATGTGACATGTAGAGCTTACACCCTCGTAGGTGAATTTCATATTTCAGCATCAATGTGACCACAGAAGTGTGCATTTAATTGGAAAAGACACTCTGACAAACATTTATTGAATTTGCTCTTCTGTTTGAGAAAAAAGAATAGTTGTTGGTTTTTCTTATCTTTATAGTGTGGAGAGACTGACAAGTACAAATTGTCAATCTATAAATGATGCAATTTTGGACAGGATGCTTGTCTTGTGACTTCATTTGGATGCTTGTCTTGTGACTTTTACCACTTGCAATTGGGGTAAATTTTCTAGCAAAGACATAATTGTGTCCTCATAGGGTTCGCAACTTAATAAGATCATAATTAGCAGAGCATGCAGTCATTCAGGATCTGCTGTTCCTATAGCTAATTTACACTCTTATTGAAATGTGAGTGCACCATCCAAAGTAAATCAGTGTAAATAAAAATGCCATTCCTGGTTGGCATGCTTTCCCTTGGGCATATTAGATGGCATAGCCTATTTATAGAGATAACAAGAAAGTTATCTTGTTCCACTCCATGTTTTGTATATTTAACAGTGTTAAATGAATTTATTAATTATTACATATTTGTCACACCTTAGGAAATATTGGCTGCCATACCACTGCTGTATCAGACCAATGTCTGATGGGAGTTAGAGTCCAAAATATCTGGTGCGGGAACTGGGGTTCTGCCAAAAACTTTTATGGAGGAGATAAGTAAAATGGCATTGTGAAAATGTTCTAGTAGGCTGTCCTGTATCTAGAGCAACAACACTAGAGTCTCTGGAAATCTGAGGGAGCAGGACTTCTTTGAGCAGCTAAGGATGACAAAGGTGACAACTGAAGGCATAGATTAACATACATATGCATTGCTTGTAAATTCCGTTTGGCTGACTGTAGTCTCATCGTTTCTTGTTTGTAGGTATAACATTTTGGAGACTTGCAGATGAGGAGTTCTCTGCCTCAAGGTCTGCCAAGAGCAAAGGGCATGTCGCATAAAAGGAGAGGTCAGAGTAACATGGGATAAATGTGAGCAAAGCCCTGCATTTGTTGTCAGGCAGTTCAGTTTCAGAACGGGTCTACTGAGGAGAGGGTGAAAGCTGCTCTGGGATAGAAGAGATCTCTAGCTCTGATTAAATCACCCAAGAGCAGAGGGCATGTCGCATACAAAGGAAGGTCTGGATTAACTAAATGAGAGTGATGGCTGTCTCTTTTGACCTTGTAAAAATAGAGTGAGGTGCTAATTTTCAAGGGCTTATAGAGGAAAAACAGAAGATATTGTTACATTTATACTGTGATTCTAAATATGCTGAAAGTCGTTTAGGAGATGATGTTAAGATTTATTTAATACTGTTTTAAATTATAAAGTTTTTTTTAAGACAGGTATACCTTGAGATGACAACTCATTCATTTATTTAAATATGCAACTCTTCCACCTGAAAGTTTCAGCAGATAAAAGCACTATAAGAATATGAAAAATAAAATACTACATGGCTTGGGAAAATAACTTTTAAAAATTATAAATCCCTGAAACATTCAGATATGCTGGTTGAAGGATTCTGGAAGTTGTGATCCAAAAATAAAGGGTTTGAGGCCTGGAAAACAGAATAGATGAGATCCTGTATCAGACA